TATACCAGAAACATTTTCCTGTGAGACCCTCGGTGGAATTAAAATAGACCTTTACTTAGCCCAGTTAGGAAATCAGTCCAGAAATCAGGCTAATGAATATGTAAGAAGTACTGTCTTTGTGTCTCCTTTTAACTCTCTAAAATAAAAGATAAATGACTAATATATTAAAAAAGATACATATGATAGCCTACTGTATAGATGAGGTGTACATGTATCAGTATATATGTAGGAGTAGTTTTTTGCTTTTAATCGCTGCTATTTAGATTCCAAGATTCCGCTTTTTTCCTGTTATTTACCTTATTTTTAATATCAGTATATCTTGCTCTTTCCATCTTCCACTCTTTCTGTGATATATATTTATCTCTCTGCCTGTCCGTGCTTCACATTTCTGCCCGTCATCCAGCCCAGTTTCAACTGCCTGCCTGTTTTCCTCATTCCTTTATATTCTTTGTCGCTTTAAAGTAATCCCCCCTCCTTTTGCATGCAAGTGTCAATCCTTGGAACAAGTAATTCTATTTATATCTTATTGTAGTGTATTGTTCAACGAAAAGATGCTTGACAACATTTTTCCCGCTTCCATTCATGGTTTGATTTGAGAGAGACAGGACAGAGTGGTGCAGAGAGAAGAGAGATCTTTTCTAGTCAGTTTTGACAAGGATCTGTAGACTCACTGGTCCATGTCCGACTGAAGCGTCAACTCTAGTTGTAAGTCCAGTCATATAATTAAGAAGACGTCTTTTGTTGGAGTCAGTCACTGCTATAGTATCTTTTCAAAAGTGAATGTGCAGAACTGGGTGTTCACACGCATCACCTCTTTCTCTGTTCACAGGCCAAACAAAAAAGGCAGTTTAAGTGATGTAAACATTGCTGGATATTCTAGCATTATTCAAGCAAACCTAGGCCAATGTGATAGATAATACTGTGCAGTCACGGTGCAGTGCCATAGCACCACCTGTTGGCGAGATCTTACTGCAAAAGAAAATGTGTATTTCATTTTGAACAATTTCTTAACTGTGTATTTAGGTTATTGCCGATGTAAAAGCAGGGCTAGAAAAAGAATAACTAACCGATATAAACATCATGTCCTGCAGGTCTAAATGTGGATTTTAGTAATAATGTTTGTGCTGTAAGTAGAGTTTACTCTTTCTTTCTTATTATTTCTAAATAATATATAGCATTTTGAGTTCCTGATTTCTTTTTTAATTGGCTTATTCTCAGGTGTATTTGATGTGTATTTGTTTCTTACGAGAGTCTCTTGTGCATTTGGACTTCAAGAATTACAATTGTGAGCTTAATTTCCCATGTGTGCCTGGATGTCAGAGCAGGTGTGCTCTATTTCACTGGTTCCTCCCACAAAAGGCACTGACAAATTTCAATTCAAGATACTTAATTTGTCCCTACAAGGCTACAAACAAAGCACACACAACACACATAGACACACAAAAACTGTTAGAATGACTTAAAACACAGATCTATAACAGTGCACAGCTGGTCAACAAAATCCAACCCCACAAAGGCACATTTAAAATGTTTTTAAAAAAAATTTATGGCAGTATTTTGTTTTTTGACTTGCACTGAATTTAATCTAATTTACTTCACTATCTCCCCCTCTTTGTTCTCTCTCCTTCTGTCTTTCACCCGCCAGATTTAATAAAATACAAAACACGAAAAACACGATGAAGAAGGACGGCATCAGCTCTCTGATCTACAGACTGGTTCAGGTCAAGAGGTATCCTCTGTACACAAATATCTCTGTGGAGATCGGCAAGCCACCGCCTCGACCTATTAAAGGCTAGAGATGGAGGGACAGGGAGGAAGATGAGCGGATGATGCACATCAGCTGAGGGGAAAACATGAAAAGAGAAGACATAAAAGAGAGAACATATGTGGAATAATGTGGGAGTGGAGGGGAAAGTAGTCACAAGCACATCATGGTCTTGTTCTTCCTCTTTACCCCAGCTTTTTTTAAAATTGAGATTTCAGCTTGCTGTTTCTATATAGAGGATTCGGGCTCTTTACACCTGCAACTTTTTTTCAAGCAGCCAATGTTAGGCATCGCACCTCCTACCTTTACCGATCAGTGACTTCAGAATTTAAAAGTGTGGACCAAACCTCAAGTGACTGACAGAAGGTTAGCATCAAACTTGAAGTTTTAACTTGGAGTCTTTCATTTAACAATCCCTTGTAAACTAGAGGGCAGCAAATGGCATATCAGCATAGGAGATTGACAGCGACTGTTGTTGGGAGGTGAAAGAAACGAGACGATAATATCTTATGAAATATTTTCATGGCCGATTCTGGAAATGTTGGACAGCATCCAGAGGCATTTTTTTGGAGTATTTTAATCAAGGTGATGTAAAACAGTGACTGTAGCCATGACATCGATGGTCGGTTCACATGGATACAAAAATAAAAATAACCAACCTAATGGTTATCAAACCCTACAGAGGCCATCAAAGAATTCACTTTCTAAGCATTTGCAGTGATGGTCAACAAAGCGGGGATTGACTTTGGAAACAAACTGGGACATTAACATGATATAATAACATGCAGTGTTGATCCATGGAACTGAATCAGACATATCAGAGATTTCAGCTGGTCAGACTATTTCACATTGACATTTTTGTCAGGGAGTTACCTGTTTGGATCTAATTAATCAAGTCCTCTGCTATCACTTAATGAATGTGTATTGTGCCTGCATCTACAGTAGAAGACTAAAACCAGTGCTGGGACACACTGATAAATATATATACAAAAACTTTGGAAAATAAAAGCTGACTTGTTGGAAGTGTTGCAACAGAACTGGACACTCTGATGATATGGAACATTTCCTCTTGTTGTGAATGCAGTGTGCTGGAAATACTTTGGGAATACAAATCGAGGAAATGGATGCAACAGGATAAATATATACTGACAGCTCAGTTATGATTTTAAACCCTTGCGGCAAATATTAGAAATTGGGTTTCTCGAAACTTAGTTTTTCTTGCTCAGCTTGAAGAAAGATAGACGTTTATTTTGGTAATCTTCATTTTGAGGGAACATTTTGTGTCTACAAAATGCCAGTGGTTTGAGGTACTTTAATATTCCTTAAGGTATGGATTAGGCTCAGTAGAAATATGCTTTTTTTATTTCCCATATTTTCTGAATATATTGGGGCACAAACATCAGAAATGAGCTATCACGATAGAGCCATGGCTCATTTTTTACAGTGAAAAGCAGTTTGAATACAAAAGTTGACTTTTGTTAGACTAATAAATTTTCAAGGTCTTTTTTCTTTTTTTTTGCCTACAATGTAAACCTGGACATCAATTTTTTTTCACAGTATCACAGTTCATTTAAGTCTACTGATAATTTTACTATGTCACTTTTGTCTCCTTTTCTGTCAATCTCTAAGAAAAAGACTATCATATCTGGAAAGAGGAAATTATAAGGTCTTCTGCTGGTGCTGTAGTGAATTCCGGTTGGAGCAGTTTGACTGACATCTCAATTGCTGCTTCAGACTTTATCATTATCAGCTGTCAGTTCTGTACTGTAATCTGTTTTATCATACTATCAGATTTCTGAAGTGATGTTTTAGAGTGCCATTATTTAGTGAAATGTTTAATTTGAAAAGTTTTTTTTTTGTCTTATATGAGTTTCATAACTTTCCCTGTGTGACTGATGAACAAGCCTATTGTTCATGATTTCCTCTATCAACATATTGAAACCTTGACTGTTTGTGTTTATTCCTTTGTTTTGTTTTTCCTCATATCTACTGTTGATGCTGTTACTGTTGACGCCTAAACACCAAACTGATGCCTTCAGAAGTGACATAAAGGAGCACTGAAGGTTATTTTTAATTTAAAGGTCATTCTTTTTAGTGTGCTACCACTTAATGAAGATATGTGTGTGGGTGGTGCTGAAACGAACACAAATGTTTCACTTATAAAAACATATTGTCCAAACCTATATGACATATTTCCACCTATCGCTGAAATTTCAGCCAGACAGACAGGATTTGTGCATTTTGCTGTAGTGGATTTTCAAACACAACAAACAACTGGTGAAAATTGTGTATTTATGGCCTTCTCTTGGGTTGACCTTGAGGCAAAAAGTGTTCCCATCTGTTTGGCTCTCCATTATCTTTGCCTCAAGCCTGCTGGAAGGTATGATTGCTTCTCTTTTCTAGGCACGCTCCCAGACACACAAACAGTAAATTCAGACAGTTTTTCCTTTTGTCTTTGCATTGTCTCCTCTTTCATTGCCTTTTCTTTCTAACTCTGCCAGTCCAGGCTGCACTGAGTGTGTCAGTGGCACACTGTTGTGCTTTATGGTGAGCCCACTTCAGGCTCACAGCTGTGTCTCACAAGAGTACTTCTTTCAATGGATATTGACAGGGCCTCTCTTTGTGTCCCTGAATCTGTGCCATTTACTGTATCTTCATTTATTTCTGTCTGTTCTGTTTCTCTCAGTACACATCATCCATTGTGAATCATTCTGTCTTCCTTCTTTTCTGATTCTCCCCACTTTGTCACACTCCCCTTTTCCTTGTCACGCTCTCTCTTTTGTGTATTTTGATCCTTTTTTGGTCAAAGTGCAGTACTCTGCTAGAGAGATTGTGTCCTCAGTAGACAGATATGGGGAGGTCAGCATGTGCTCTTCTCTACACTGTTTGCACCTTACGCTGTGCAATATTACGCATCCATTCACCTGTACCACATTTCCCCTCAAAGTCATTGTTCTAACGTAGACTACAGTGTGATACCATTTTTACAGACATGGTAACGCAGTCTATCTGTATTTCCTAAAAGAGTTCTTTGTCACTTGCTTCTAACTCACTTTTTATATTCACTATTTTGAAATACTTATCAATACATACCTGCCAAAATGTTATTGCTTTGACAGTTAATGGAAAAAACTAAAGGATATAGCAAGAAAGATTTTAGCCTTAGTTTGTACAAACGGCGACATAACCAGGAAGATACTTGTAGAGATCAGCAACAGAAACTTCACCCAAAATATTAATGAAACAGTTCTTTTACTTAAGAATGAGAGCAGCCATGAGGAGTGCTTGATGTTTCTTAATAGACTTTTGACTTTTGGAGCTGTTCCAGTTGTCAAGCACACCTCAGGTGGTTACATATTTGAAATGAAATTCATATACATTTTTGCTTGTCTGCTGCAGAGAGCAAATGGACTTTCAAGCCTGTGGGTGTTTTTAAAAAATTACTGTATCTCTAGCTATGTTTTTTTGTTTTTTGTACATTGAATGTTGAAAATGTTATATCTTATATAGAATGCATTATGTCATATCAAACCTACTTTTTCTATACAGTCATTAAATCTGATGGTTAAAGATTGTAACATGGTGTATTTTACTGTGTATGTGCCTTTGTATTACTTACATTATGGGGACCAAAAGCTGTTAACACATTGTGGGGACTCGGCCTTGTTGGCGTAATACTACCTGATCATAAGGTTTCTGATCAGCTTGTTTATGGTAATTAAATTAAACATAACTTTGTTTAGGAATACGGTGTGCTTTTTGAGAGCACAAAATAAACTTAAATAACAACAACATGACAGGACCACAACATTAGATAAATAAGTTGGATCTGCCTTTGTTGATATTATACTTTAGTTTTGTAAATTCCTTAACAAATCTGCAGTTAATCACACTGCCAAACCCCACTCGAATGCAGTGACCCTGCAGCTTTGACTGGTCCATTGGCAGTGTCCACCAAAGTGATAAATTTTGTGAATCTTATCATTATTACAAAAATAGTGGACAAGTGATCAGGTCAGATGGTCGGTCATGTTTTAAAATCTTTGGTTGCTTTGTTTACATGATGAATTTTTGTTGGTGCAATGACCCTTTAAGTCTGGCTATACCAGTGAGATTTTCAGCTACACAGCAGAATGTAGCATGTTCTTAGAGATGGAACGTGTACAGCTGATTGGTCATCAAGGAATATGCATTTTAAGATAGCTGGTTCTCTGCTGACACTGACTCAGTTTTGCTAAGTGGATGGTTGTTCAGGCGTCCAGTTTTTGAGGCGGGAACGGGTGGCGAGACGGTATCCCTCCCAGTAGCCAGCATCCTGGCCATCGTGGCAGCGACACTTGGTGCAGGAGTTGACCCAGACGGGCTCTCCTGCAGGAATCACTTGACTGCGTGAGGCGTCAACATAGCAGTTAGGACCTTGAGGGAGGAAAGCAACATTTTGGAAAAACTTGCATTTGAGGAGATAAATGTCCTGCTGTGTCTCTGAGAAGCCTCCAGTGTTTTTCAGTTTAGCAGTACTTTCTTTTTTTAAATCACTTTTTTGACTTACCCTCATTGCATTCAGGGCAGCATTTTCCAGGCTGGTAGACAGGGTTGACACACGGTGGAGGGGCACAATCTGCAACCAGACAGCGGGCTATGCCATCACTGTCACAAGTGCACTGCTCACATTCTGATGGCTGGGAAAACCCATACATAAACAAAGAGACCCAACATAGATTTGGGATAAGAATAATGTTTAAATATGAGTCAGTGTTTGATACAAAGAAGACAAAATGTAAATCACAGCATCATAAGGATAGGTGACAAATGAAAGAAAAAAAACACAGATTAGATTCAGTGTCCCTTGGCATTGATTCTACAGGTCTCTGGACTCTCCTGGAGAGATGAACAACATTCTTCCAAAAGATATTCCCTCATTTGGTGTTTTGATGATGGTGGTGAAGATGCTGTCTAACATGACAGTCCAAATTCTCCCAAAGAGGTTCAACTAGGATGAGATCTGGTGACCACAAAGGCCACAGCGTATAATTTACATCATTTTCATAGTCATCAGACTATTCACTGACACCTTGTGCCCCATCACTGGGAGCATTATCATCCTGGAAGAGACCACTCATTAATTCAGGTTTTTCCTTTGATTTGTCACCTGCATGTATTCATCACCAGCACTGCTCAAGTCCTCGTCATACCATCTCAAAAGGGGGCGACATTTACCTCTAATTTCCTCTAATAACCATACACCCAAATGCATCCAAGCTTATCCTGATTAAAACCTACACTATTAAAAATCTACTACTGACCCCTTAATCACACATTCTGATTTTAAATGTAAGATGTGAGGAGTTCAACCAAAAGTGATTTTCGTTTCTTTGGCATTTAACCTTAAGCATTTTTGTCCCAATTTGGCAGAGGCATGAGAAAAATGGGGAGGGTCAAATCATCTACATTAGAAATATATTATCTTTTATTTTTTTAATCGTTGCTCCTCAAATTTAGGCTACAGTATATAATGTCTATATTCTGAATGGTCCCCACCCATGCTGGAGAGCATCACCGGTCATTCCCATATTTGCAGACTATTATGTGCCATTACTTTCAGGCTTACCTGGAAGTTCTGCCCCAGCTCGTACACCACCCCTCGGTACTCACACCCGATCTTCTCGCACCTGGGGCAGCAGTCAGTGGGATAGTGGCTGACATGGATGCATGCAGCCGGGAGAGAGGTGCACTCAGTGCGGGCACATGCAGAGCCCTCAGCAGTGCACTTACACTGGGTGCAGTGGTCTGAGTCTAGAAAATACCATTCCCCCACATAGTATATGCTGCCGTTGGCCTCGCAGGTGTTCTCCTGTTGTCCGGCGACTGAGAAGCCATAACCTGTCTGTGCGCAAAGCAGAAGCGCCAAAACGGTCGTACGCATTCGCTCCAAGGAAAACCGCTCAATAAAAACTTTTGCCATGATCTGATGATTTATTTTGTCCAAATCAAAATGATTAACTAAGAAGCAAAGTGAAACATCTACTGCAGTCCATTTGTGTTTTGTTCGCAAAAATCCTCCAGTGGTCTGGGGCTGCGCACACTTCTGGAAAAAGCCCGGAAGGGGGTGGAGAGGGCATAAGGAGGAAAGGTTATATTGACTGCCTCTCTGGGAGTTCCCACTGCAGCCACAGCTGCAGTTTGTGCCTCCCGTAATTTAACCATCTTTATTAGTCCAGACTTTGAGCACACCTGTGCTCATAGTCGGTCAAACAATCACGGTAGTGATATGTATTCACCTTAATTTACTACATGTAATATTTGAATAAAACAAACGGAGGGAGTGGTATAAAAATGTTTATATTAAATTCAATTAAAATACTGAATATTTTCTTTCCAATAGGCCATTTAGATTTCCCAAAACCTACTGTTGACAGTTCGGCAGATCTCGCGATATCTCCGCTTAGCAACTGCAATGTTTGGCCCGGATACCACAGCTTTGCTAGGTTCAAGAAGCCAATTAAGGTGAGTGTTTCTTTCTCTTTAGCGACACAGTAAACACAATTTAATAAGCTTTGTTTTGTTTTACACAAACAATGTTATCGTTTAATACTCTATGTCAACACTGTTTTTGTTAAGCAGCTTATGATGATGCTTATTTCTCTTTTAACTAGCATGACTCACAACAGGCAGATATTGTGGACAACGTTTATGAGTTAGCAGGACAAAGTGGTAGCATTTCAGGTTTTATTCCAACAAGCAGCCTCAGTCCACTGTACTGCACAGTATACTAGTGTTGAAGTTGTGAAATACTCCATTGCAAGTAAATTCTGCTGTCAGAAGTGCACTTAGTCAAAAGTACAGTACATAAATGTTATAAGCAACTTACTTGTTTCACAAGCAAGTACTCTATATAGAGCTGATTATTTATATGGTACTGGGTAGTTTAATTTATAGTATGATCTAAGATGTCAATTAAATGTGGTAGGGGAAAAATACAGTATTTGCTTCTAATATATAATGAAGTGATGTAAAATGTCGATACTTAAGTATTTCAAAACTGTACTTAAGTGCAGTATTTCAGTAAAAGGACCAAGCTGTATTTTACCACTTAATTTGACTTGCTTGCCATTTGTAGATTGCCGTTCATATGCAGTCTCCCAGTGGAAACCAGCTCTGGTTCCCAGGTCCATCCCTGTGGAGCCTGATCACTGAACATGTGCCGGGGTCAGAACTGCCAAAGATCCGTGCAGCACTGGGCCACTCCCTGGTTGACATGTACACAGAGGTGCACACTGAGGTGAGAGGGTTTTATGACTGCAGTATTTCTGATTTCTTGTGTCAGAACTTAACTATATACTTGTCTTTCCAGCATCACATGTTTTTGCACCTATAATGTTTTATTCCTTCAAAGAATTCAGATACTGGTTCTGTTTATAGTGGGATTCTACAAAAATACCACAGCATCTACATTTCCCTTTAGCAGGGTGAATTAAACAATTGCTCTGCTAAACATTCCTGGCCAAACAATTTAAGAGCTGTGTGTGTTGTGTAAGAAGGTTAGAGGGGCTGCATACATTCACTTATTACAAGCCCTAGACTCACTAATAAAAGTGAAATGTGAGATAACTGGCACTATGTCACAGTGAAGTCCAAATATGAGCCAGACAGATATCAATATTTACTCAGAGAGCACTCTGCTCTGGTGAAATGATCTCGCTCCAGACAGACTTGTAGGGTCGATGAGGACAATACCCAGCCCAGGTAGAATGACACATACCTCACTAAATAGGTCAATTCAAGTCAAGACTAAGGTGTAAAATTGAAATTTAAGAGACATGCCTTTTGAAAGAAAGGCAACTGAAGTAAAAAAAAAAACTTGAATAGGTCATGCTGAACTGAAATGTTGCCTATACCGACTGTGTCAAATGGAGCTGTACTGCAACTAAAGTTAATTTTCATTGTAAATTAATTGTAGTTGTTGTTTTCTCTCTCTATGAATTTTGTCTTAAAAATGTCAAATTCCAAAAGCCCTAAATCATGTGATTGAATGTCTTGTTTTGTCCACAGCTGAAAATTTCAAATATATTGTATTCATAGTAATATAAAACAGGGAAAATCCATACACTTTTTAACAGAAATCAGCAAATATTTATTGTCTTTGAATAAAAAAAAAAATGGCCTAAAATATTAAGCAATGATCAAAATACTATAGCTCAGATGTATTTTGTCGGTTGATTGATTGATTGATCAGCTCTAAACAAAATTCCAAACATCTCTTTTCCTTCTGTGTTTGTTCAGAATTGAAATCTCACCATCTGTAGACGTTATTTGATCTCTGCCTGCATTGCACCAATAGGCCAGTCTTATTTTGCAGACAAAAACCTGCACAGAGCTTGTGCATGCCAGTGTGGGTCTGCACACAAAAAAATGGTTTAAAGCACACTTCAAAAAAAAGCATTAAAGCAAAAATCAAATCAAAGCGTTGCAGAGTAATTTAACTGATATACCGGAATACTCCCCAGCGTACAGACACACATACTGTATACAAAGAGAGAAAGGCCCGGTAAGCTTAGTGAGTCAGAGGGTCGGTATAATAGGGTTAAAGAGGCTAATCCTCAACTGTTGATAAGACTGTTAGCAATGCATATTCTAGGACTTGAATTGTGTGTAAAGTTAGAAGGAGAAACTGTATATGTGCATTTGTCCATGTGCATACCTCCATGTCTTTCGTCTTGATTTTTTTCCTCATATAATGAATTATATCCTCAGTGAGCCACTGTAAAATGTAATAATAGATCTCAGTATCGCCATTTCTCCTTCCATCAGGGTCTCCATTGTCTATGGCGGTCAGATCAGAGGAAATATTAGCCTCTCTTTTCAAGTCTCTCTACCAGGCCAGTGTCTCTGTACCTCCCTCCAAATGGTTCACTCTCCACTGAATAAAAATGAGCCCTTTAAGTTAAATGTGTTCTAAAACCCATTGTAAATAATTCAGTATAACTCCTAGTAGCGTTTTTTTAACTGACAGGTTTCATCAGCACTCCCTTTAAAATAGCTCCTTGATGAGATCAGCAGTCTCACAGCAGATGGGGTGGGGGGGGGGATCCAGGAGCAACTCATTAGCTAGTGAGCTATGAATCTGTAACATAAACACCTCAGCACCCAAAGACAGACAGAGGAAGCCAGTGTGAATGAAAAGTGCTGTGAGTGTATGTGTGTGTGTGTGTGCAGTGTACTATGTGAGTGGACACTTGCAAAGACCTGAAACTATGTGTTTAGTATCCTCCAGTGTTTCTTTGAAGTGAAATCTGACTGCAACATGGCAGAAATGACTGGCAGGCAACAGGTGTGGGGGTGTTAATGATATCCAGACTCATGTATGTGCATATGCATTCTTTTTCACATCTTCTTTATGTTAACCCACAGAGATTTTTTTCAACCTTTCTTTTGGCCATTACCTTATGGCAACATCATGGTTATTGTACAGCACTTCAGAAAAGAAGCTAGAGAGTATGGTTCTGGGCACTCAGCCGTTCTTCGGCTCAGAACACAGGAAGTCACAAAGACAGCATTTTTTATGCTTTTCTTTGTTTCTTCACTTGTGGGATTACAGATTTACAGATTTTCACAAAAATATGTTAGATGAAAGATAGTTTCACCCACATTTGATGTGCCTGTGCATCCAACAGTTGTATTGCTTCATCTTCCAAGAATAAAATGTTAACTGTTCATAGCAGTTGACAGTAAACAAGGTATTACTGTATATATTATTAAGGACAGCCCTGAAAATCTTTTCACTAGCAGTATTGTTGCTTAAGTAACTGAAAAACCAAAACAGTATTTCTACTTCCAGTGGGTGGTATTCTAAGAGAATGTACTTTATACTTGTAAATTGTGCACTTGCATTAAGTAATTAAATTATGCTTCAAAGTGAAGTGTCAGTTTGGTTACTACAGCTCTTGAAAATGCTTCATACTTCTAACAATCTAAACAGTATAGTGTTGAATCAAGTATGAATCAGATTATGTGCCAGGGAAGTTGAGAATTGACTAAGCAATCCTGCACCTACAGTACCTGCTCTAGTGAGTGTGCTCTGGTGTTCTCGCAGTTAAATTGCTTTTTCACAGATTATTTTGGAGTCATTGAGACATGAAAGCAATAAACTAATCCTCCACTACCCTCCACGAGGCATAAAAAGTCCTGACATCATCCTCCATGAAGGCAGCTGTCAGTGGAGTCACTGGATGACGTATGCTTGGATCACTGCTGGCAACATATTGCTGTTGATGCTGCTTTAATCGAGTAGTTCATAAAATCATTTTTCACTTTGAAAATGTTTTCATCTATATACCGTCACTTGGTGCTGTCCCCTGAACTGTCAACTGTGAAAATGCCTCCTAGACTATGTATACTATATATATAACACCTGCATTCATTTTTGTACTAATGATAGAAACAAATCTCTCAAATCCATAAAAAACACCTTGAAAAAGTGTTTATGTGATAATTTTGCAGGTAGAGATGTGGCACAAGATGTGGCAGGAGAGCCAGGGAGGTGGAAACCATTGCAGCAGATCAGGGACCCCACTCCCACGTCAGCAAGCCCCCTTCCTAGCTGACCCGCCTGCTGTCAAAGAGCTGGTGAGGGCTGAGGTCAAGATGTTACTACAGACTCTGATGGAGAGAGACAGTAGGGAAGGGAGGTATGTGTAGGATCTCACACACCTAAATCCCCTCTACTGGACAGTGTGAATTATAGAAAGCTTGTGTGTTTTGTTTTTGTTTGGCCAAAAGCATAGTAGTTTTAATTCATTCCTACTTGTAAAACAGTACTTCTAATGTGAGTGATAGTAACAGGATATGGCACACAACTTACTGAACAGTAGTACGATTGATGTACATAAAAAAAAAAAAATGTTTTTTTGTTGTTAACTGTCATTTGGGAATGTATGAATGCACTGAAATAACATCAGTTAAGTAAAATATTATTCACAAATGCTAAATATTTTCAGAAAAAAATAAGATTGAAGTTGAAGAAGAAGACAGAAGACCAACCATAATTCATTTTGACTAAAACCACAGTTCTACACCACAGTGGCGGCAACACTTATGTATTCTCTGTGCAACTTTATGAGAATAATGATAGGTTAAATAATGAAAGGTTAAACTTTTTCTAACTAAAATATTGGGGAACGTATAGAAACACTGCAGTCTGTTTTTGATTACTGACAAAAGATTTTGTTTTGATTGGTGGCCATCTTAGAATTACACCAAACAGCTTTACATTACGGTGTATGCTCCCAGCTTTTACACTTGGTGCATGTTACACTCTCTTGATAACTTTATATTGCCACGCACAACTTTTCAGTCAACCCTCAGCATCAGATGAAGATAGCAGAAATTGGACCAAATTTGGATTCAACCAATTCCTCAGGAATCTTACCTCTTCAACATTCTGTTCAAATATGATTAGGCAGTTGATTTCCAGATGTACCAAACCATTAGAGTCAGGATTTACTGAATTTATTTATCTAATATTCAATAAATGCAATTAATCTCTTGATGTAATTGGTTAGCTTGACTTTTTTCTATAAAGAGATTTTTTCAGCGCTCTAAACCAGGCACAACACCTCTCTTTGGCTTTTTCACAAGGCAAGAGATGGGATGGACAAGTGGGTTGAAAGACCCTGCTCTCACACACTCAGCATCAGTTCTCCCCGAACAAAGACTGCTATAAAATACTGTATTGTGTTCCCAAGTCAGTTACAAATGGGATGGGAAAGTAGTGGAACAAAGATTTTTGACATAAGGATGTTGTAAACTGATTTGGGAACAGTGGAACAACAGAACAGTTATATGAGGGAGACATCTACACTAGCCTCACCAAATGCAAAGAACCAAAGTCACTACACTGATTAAAATATATGTTTTCACCTGAAATGAGTAGCTCAGTACTCATCTATAACTTGTAAAGTGGCCTTTATTCAGTTATTTGTCAATGAATAGTTGACAAAGAGACAACACTAAAGACTGGTACTCTGTTTTTGTATTTATGGAGCACAGTCATCAGGGAGTTTTAAGCTCCTCAAGCAACAGTAATAAAACTTTAAAATTGTTGTTTGGCTTTTAATTTCTACAGCTAATATTTCAATTCAACTCAGAGATGAACTTGTAGCAATTGCAATTTACTGATGTATAAAATATCAAGAATATCATAAAACTGTTCACGGGATAATATTGGCCCTTCCTTACATACTCTTACATTACATTTTAACAGCCTTAATTATGTATCAAAATGTGTATACGTGAGTGTGTGAGAGCCTCTGTGTATATGAGCTATTGTCTATCCCAGCAACCAGCCCACTGCTGCCAAGAATGTTGCCCAGTGTCACCGCTGGCTTTTCTGAACCTTTTTAGGAGAAGCACAGCATAAGATGGATTGTTCATTGCTGGTGTAACAAAACATTTATTGCCTGTCAATTTGTCACTTTCTTGTTTATTGTGATTTTCTTCTTTTTTCAGTTTATATTGTGTTGTTAAACAAAAGGCTGCAGGCTTTGGAGTCTTTTTTTTGCCTGCTCTTATTTTATGCATGTGATTATCTCCAGTTCTCTCTTTGTATCTACTGGCCTAATACATTTGTGACATGTTGACATATTTGCTATAATCTACATACACATTTGCCAAAGTTACTAGTTTGCATTTATTCATTCCTCATTTGATTTTCTATCTACGAAGGGTCTACGGGCTGCACAGCAATACTTTGTGCTAAATGCTGCTAATAATGCCATGTAAACCAACATCTGTGATGCTAATATGCTCACAGTGACAGTGCTAATATGCTGTTGTTTAGCAGATACAGTACTTGCCATGTTCACCATCTTAAACATTTGCTAATTGGCACTAAACAAAGTGTGGCTGTGGCTAATAGGAACGAGATTCACAGACAGATCCTAGAATGCACTAGGATATATCAGTGATGTTTCTTGCGACCTGATGTTTCTGGTCTTTCAGCATTTAACAGTCTTAATCAGGTGACTCAGTCAGGGATGACTGAGACCCTTACATGCTTGCACATCAGAAGCCACTCTTATAAAGTGCCTTGGCTCAGACGTAAATGGATTACAAACTCCCATTCATAGGGAGAAATGTAGCCCATTGTTACTGACTGCATAGGAATAGTGCCAAAAGTATCGGTGCCATACAGACTGTGCCATCGCCTTTTCTCTTTGAAGTTGGCTTCAGTATACTCACTGACCTTAACGCATGGTACCGTGTGGGTGTTTCAGGCCTCTGATTGTTCAGTGAGGCTGAGCCCCAAGAGTATATCAGCTTAATGGCTTTCAGTACTAAAACCAAACACACAACCCGTAATAGCACTTCCATGTAATAATGCTCCTCACTTCTCTATTTATCCAATTTAATATGCATTGTTAGCATGGAGATTGAGAGAGTACTTCCAAAGCATCAGGACAGGGTAGCAGTAGTTTTCACCCACATGCCAGATATTTCCTGTGGTATGTGAACCATTTGAATGAGGGTGGGTGGGTGTGTACCTTGTAAAAGTCAAATGATTTATCTTATTGGCCTCCTCCTGTGTGGTTCTGGTCTCTGCCATCCATCCACATGCACACATTTTCCGCCATGAAAAGACTATAAAATTAAGCAGGACTGACCAGGGTGTCACCCCTCTTACAGCTGCCTACGCCAATAGATGGCTTCTGTTTCAGAAAATGTATGTTTTTGCTGTCTTTCCTGAGATCCACTTAAAAAAAAGAAAACATAATAAGAAGATAGGCCATTTTAAATGCTTAAAGAGGGCCTTGCTCGGGGTGCCTCAGTAGCCAAATGATTACATTATGGCACACCATATACGCAGCACAGTGCGTGCATGATGTCAGTGGTTTGAGTCTGGCTGTGGGTCTGTGTTACAGGTCCACTCCCCTTTCCTGTCTGCCTCTCATTGACCAACTTACACTGTAAGAATAATAAAGTAAACATATGTGCCTGAAAAAATAGCTAACAGGGCCTAGCTCTGTCTCCCTGATGACCGTAACGTTTGTTTCTCTCCAAGCATTAACACACTAACAGAGCATCCTGCATAAAGTGAGAATGACTGTTCAGTAATTGAATTCAAAATACTTTAAAGGGTGACAGACATGCTGGTATTAAGACTGAAAATATATTAAATATAACAGTAAAACAATTACAGACCACTGTACAATTTAACAATGGATTTAAAACATTTGAATCAAAAGCCAAGCTAAATATGTCAGTTTTAAATTTGTGTTTAAAGATAATAACACTAGCTATGCACATTCTTCCAGCACTGCATGAATGTGACCACTGAACGAGCTACAGATACAGTAAACTGACCTGTGTAATCTTTTTGTACTGTAGAGATAGTAAAGAGCTCCTGTTCTGGTACAAACCTGAGACTGTAAACTATGCCCTCGGTCACCTTGATAGCTGTTACAGTAACTGTCCTCTCCCTGAAGTTACTGCTAATAGAAGCAGGTGAGTAACACAGGAAACAGAAACAGGTAAAAACAGAACTTGAATATTTTACTGCAGTTGCCTTTCATAATGCATAAAATCTTTTTTAATCTTCTTTGTCTCCTCTTTTCTTACTTCTTTCCTCTCTTCCCCTTCAGACCGAGCTCTCAGTGTTCAGTCCAGTCCAGCGCTGAAGAAGAGATTGAAGCAGTGAGAGAGAAGCTGAATGTCACTGACATTGACCGTGTAGCAGACCACCTCAAGTAAGTTGTGCATAGCAGTGGTTCCCGACAGGCTTGTGAGCCCTTAAAACAAACCGATGCCTGCTTGCAGCCCCACATCACCTGTTAAGTGACATGAGAAAATGTGGAAACAATGTGATAATGTGAAGACAGTTATTCACCTGAACCTGCATCTGCCCTTGAGTTTCAGCTCAGCGTTTAACTGTTCACCCCCCTTTACTGTTGTGGTTCATTGTTGTTGCTCCCTTAGTCTTGTTTTCCTCTGTTAAACACAAAAAAAATTTCTAAGATCCTAATGTACCCTACCTGCTCAATACCAAACAGCAGCCAAAGAACCAGATATTGCCCTTGTGAGTTGGTAAAGAGTAAAAATAGAGCTAAGAGAGAGTGAATATTGTACTTTCATATAGGGTCAACCCATGACACACTGTAAAATCACACAAACTTGTCCTACTGCTGCAACACTTAAAGAACACATCTTTTTCTTTATGGTATAGATTACTTTGTTATAAATGACATAATCCACATGTGCTCTGTGAGTGAGTTCCTTGAAGCCCTCCCATTTTCCCCATATGTCCTCTTTATTTCCCCTTAGCTCTCCTCTGTGCCTTCAGTGGCTGCCCAGCCTCTTTCACACTCCACCTCTCCTTCTTTCTTCTATCCCTCGCTTTGAGGCCCACAGGGCAATTCAGTTTCTGGGGCTACGTTGGAAGAGCCCAACTGTCTTTCTTTCTTTCTCTTACTCTTTGACATTTCCTGACTCAACCAGAACAAAAGAGCCCATTGTGAGAAAATGGATCCCAGGCCAGACCAGGGAGGACAGAAGATTCTTTTTCATTTGAAAGGAGTGAATAAAGTTCATGGTGGTTGTGTAACCAGAGAAGGATGAAATATGAGGGGAGAGAGAGATGGATTTGGATTATATAGCGTATGTTTATCATAGATGTAACCACTGCACAAATCTGCTGTCTAACAAATAACGTTTGTTTATACTCATAAACATAAATTTAGGCTATTAAATATGAAATATGTGGATGCATTTTACTCAGTTTAACAAAAGAAACCACAGCCATTATTTTCTCTCAATCTGTCTGTCTAGGTCTATTCTAATGGAGGAATGTAAAGGGTTGAATACACTGTTACAGCATTTAAAGGTAAGAAGAACAGGATGTAAAACAGCCAAATACCATATTAATGTTTAATCTTCGTTTTTCTGCTGCCAGTGCAATAGTGATCCAAATCCTAAAAATTATTTATGAGAAACCAGGCCAAATCCAAAGCACTGATTGAAAGGGCTCCTGATAATAGATTGTTATAATTACGTCAGACTCTCCACACACCTTATAAGCATCATGGTGTTTTGCTTGCAAGTCCAGATTTCCTGTGTATTTGACTGCGTGTACAATATGCTTTTCTTCCGGGTATAATTTTAGATACTTAACCTCTAAAAACATTATGTTTTCACTTCATGTTTCTTAAATACTCCCCCTTGCACAACACCAAATACTGTATATTGTATATCTGCTTGTAAAATCATAATTTCTTCAAAAGGTACTATTCTCAATGCCTTGTACATATTTCAGTAAACTTTAGTAGACATATTTGGTTCCTGGGAAATTTAACTGCTCAAGTGTAAAATTATTTCAACAAAATTTATTAAATGAGTTCTAGTTGTTTGATGCAATTGGTCCCGCTTTGGATTCCCTAAGGTGGACCTGGTAACTTTCGGAAGGCTCAGGAAGCCTGCTAGGACTCGGTATAAGCTTGTTTTTCCATCTGTCTGGCCAAGAGCTGTGCTGAGTAAGATCCATCTCCTTACAATCACTCAAATTGCTTACTACATACATACTGAGACATTTAGACACACACAGAGATAAAGAAGCAGACATGCATGCCTATAATCTGGGTACACTGTCATGCTTGTCTGGTACTCTGAGTTAGCTTGGGACAGGACCAGACTTTTCTGCAGACCAGATGTGGGAGCTCCCTGTCTGTGTTTGTGTATGTGTGAGAAAAAAAAAAGAACTGTCAGGAGACTTTCGAAGTCTGTGCATGTCAGATGCTTGCTGCATAAGTGCTTACTTATTCAGAAGTTTCAATAAAAGATAGTAAAAGTGACATGAGGATTCCAGTGAAAGACAAGCCAAGCGGCCAGGTACTGTGTGTTAAAAATCATCAGGCATCTCGACTGTCAACAAAGTAAAACTGGGTTTAGGAGAGTGAAGAGGGGACATTATTAAGTTACGTTTTTGTGACCCAGAGTTGTCTTCTTCCAGCCTAAACCTAATATAATTTATAAGAGGTATTTATTTTAGAGGTTGTTTGTGTTAAATAGAAATGCAGCACTCAGTTTTTACACCTTTTTTCTACACTACCTACAAACCAAACGTTTCCCTCCATTTTGCCTGCCAAAAACAAGGCAAGTTATTGTGAGTTTAATTTTAAATTGTAAACAAAACTCTCTACAATCTTCTTTCAGTCAGTCACACATCTATTGCTTCATATTTCCAGTACATAAATGTGTTTGAAGGAGAAAAAGAATATGGATTTGGATCCAAATTGGAAGATTTTGCACATGAAAATGTTTGAGTAATTCCAACTCAACTCTTTTTTAAACCTTGAACATCTGTTTTGTGTATTTCAAGGCCTGTCATAGTTAGCTAGGTCTCACAGTGTTTTTTTAAAGTGGGTGTTGAGTGTAAAGTCAGACAGTTTGGAAAAAAATTGTGTCCCATTACCCACAAACCATGAAAAATAAGCAGATACCTTTTAATATCCTGGCCTCTAAAGTACAGGGTCTTGCTGCAGCTGTACTTATTAAGAGCTCTCATTTCTGCTTACTTATGTAATCTTCACAATCAGACCCCTCTATGGTTCCCTATCCTGGGATTTTATTTTGTTTGTTTTGCTTGCATCTTCATCACAGATACCTCTGCCATAATTTGGTGATGACTCATCTCTGCCAACAAGTGTTGTTTTATGGACTGCACTGTATGTTCTGTATAGTAATGTCATGCTGCAGGGCTTTCATTTGCCATTTTCACTTTAGACCTACTCTAGTAAGCTTACTGTGAATAGCCCGATATACTTCTGGCACTGTTTACATGATTATAAAAGACACTCCTTTTCAGTTGCTTTTATTAAAAATATCACCGATGATGATCCAGTCTATCCATGGATTTTGCTGTTAAAAGCTTCCCGTGTGCTCTAATAACCACTTCAGCTGTAGATGCTGTCTGCAGGGAGAGAAGGTGTCTTTTCCCCCAGGCAGTGACAATTTACTGTGCTTTGCCAGCAGAGGAACACTACAACATTCCTCATACTGTGATGTTTACTGTGGGTGAGGAATTTGTCTCTGCAGTCTATAGGAATGGTCTTTTGCTGGTCTAAACTGGCCAGAGGTGGACTAATATTTGTCAAATAGTAGCAGGAGTGGTGGTCCCTATTCTGTTTGTGGTTTTGCATCACTATGTACAAGAATATAGTAACAGTATAGTAACATACCTAACATATCAGAAAATCATTGCCATGGTTAAGGTTTCAAACCACACATGGAAAACAAAGCCTGTTTTTTTTATTTTGTCTTGATTTAGAGCTCTTTTGTATTTCAGTCACTTAGCTGTCAGAGACCGTTCTTATACTTTGTCTGCAGCTCTGAAAGACAACACTGCAAGGTTTGGATTTGAATCCCACTGGGAAAATAAACCAAAAATATATGTTTTAACTGTCAGTCTCTGTGCCTGTGTAGATTTGGTGGTGTGTGTATGTGTGTGCCTGTGGTTTTTCTAAATACGGACACACACAGAGTGCTCTGGATATAGATGATGCCAAATTATGATGGAACACTGCTGTTCAGCTGTTTAGTGGTCACACACACGCACGCACACACACACATTCCTTACTACTCTCTCCTTGTTATTTTAATCCCTTTTTGTTGTTCCTTTGCTATTTTCAAAAGCTTGTCTTTGAGCATGTTCAATGCCTTTACCCGCTGTATTTTCCCAGTGTGTCCTAATTGTGCCATAGTATTATGTTAAGCTGCACTAACATGTACACAAACTGCATGATTAGCATAAGCTCTCTTTACATCTCTTTTGTGATTTGTGTTTCTTGCAGCGAAATATTAAACAGAAGTACAAAAGTAAATGTGAATTTGATCAGTCAGAACCTAGCCTTGCAGGTGAGTCCATATACCAACATACTGGCATTTGTCGCCATCTAGTGGCATGTAATTATTAAACCTGTGTTGGGTCTTTTATCTTTTATGTCCAGTTTAGTCTTTAGCTACGTGATTATATTTGCAAATGAAATGGGATTGCTGATTGCACCTTTACACACATTCCATTAGCAGGTAGTCATTAAGACCCTTGGCCAAATCTACAGAATCTACACTGGGCTAAAGAAAAGTAATTTGAGTTAATTCTTAATACTTGAAAATGAGTGCTTGCTTTTTTCCTTATTCTTTAGGTAAATTTTAGACTTGGATGGAAATATCTGACTGTGTTTTAATTATACTTTAGACAGACATTTACTGTAGATTAAGTCTTTTCAGATTCTCACATCTGTTTTGTTTGCATATGTAGAGTTGAGCGAGCTAAGAGCAGCTATACAAATGGATTTAGAGCTCTACCCTTCTTCATTTTCTGCCTCACCCACACCCTCGTCCCCTCGCTCTGTGAAGAAATTGAAAAACAGGCTCAGGTTTGTCAGTTTTGTTGTTACTCACTTTATACAGTGAAAACTAAAACCATTTAAGTGACATGAAAATAATAAATACTGTAATATAATATTGTCCAGGAGATATAAAATCATAGTAGTAAAGTCATTTAAAAGGAAGTTTTAAAAGGTGTGTTTTTAGCTGATGTTTCACATTTGCTTGTGATCTGTCTTCTATTCCTTCCCAATGAATACATCCAGTACATTTTTACTGTACTCCTTTTTTGTTGTCTGTTCCTAATTCCTCTCCTCCAGACTGTCAGCAGGACAAAGGGCTTCTGATGAGACTCTGCGAGCTTTAACCACTGCATCAAACCTAAGACCACATCCACCTCTATGTCATTCTAACCCCAAGCCACCAGCTGGACCTCCTCTGACTAAGACCTCTGCATCAGTCAAACCAGTTAATACTTCCTCACTATCTAGCATTCACCATAGAAGCACAAGCAAAATACCTATCTGCACCAACATCACCACTCCTGTGCATGTGAACAGCCACTTCACCACTGACCAGATAATGATTAAAAGCAATCACCTCTGCAGTCTTTGTTCAGAGCACGACAGAGCCAGTCTCCACCGCAGGACCCCAAATTCGAGTCCTAGTTTTCAGATGGAACTTCAGAGAAACTCATCGATCCATGAAGCCCATCTGTCATCCCATTGCAGTATTCACAGTCTAAGCAAAGAGTGTGATTTGTCATTTCAGACAGAGAGAAAAAGCAGCCCTGTCTGGAAGTCAAGCAATATCGATATTACCCCCCCACCCATTCCTGCTCTGTGTGAGGCAGGCAGTTACAGCTGCAAAACTAGTGACCTAACAGTAAAAACAAAGGCACAAAATGGAAATCGGAAAAGTTCCTGTAGAGGTAGTTTTGTGTCAGTAACAGTGCAGACAGGTAATGACAGAAACAAAAGATCACATGGTGGCTTCACAAACCAGCCGAAAAGTGTCCAAGAGGGACAGATGGAGCTAGAGTTTACCAACTTTTACCAGCCTGTCCCTCCTGCAAGACTGACAACTTGAGATGATCCAGACAGTTTGGAAAAAATGCAGGTTTAACTAATAATTTTAATAAACTGCCCTTCATTCAGCTTTGCTAGTTTCAGGACCTTGCTGTCTTTTCAAACCCATATATTAAAGCACCTAGATAGAAATGTTTGACTGTTTCCTGTTATAGTGCCTATAAAGTATACTATGAAACTGCAGTTCTCAGTACCCATGAGTGTGCTATGTTTGAGCAGCTATGATGTGCTGAAAAATAAAAGCAACTTTTGTCTTGCATATTTTGATTTTTTTTTTTTAAACTAAACTAATGTAAGGACAAAATTGCAGGAGTTTATATATAGTTACTTTGGCAAATATCTGATGACGAAGGATGATTATTTAAAATATTTTATTAAAGGTTAATTTCGTTATTCCAAGTTTCTCGTTGATTGAATGCTGAACACACCTACACCCGTATGCTTTTATTTTGAAGATATGGCCTACACCCGTATGCTTTTATTTTGAAGACATGGCCGGATGTGTTGAAATCTAGTTTGCTCAGATTAAATGGAGTTCATGAACTTGAGTGTTTGACGACTCGGCAAATTTAGTTAGAAACAAGGAATCAGACAACAATTTATAGCCTTTTAAAAAGAAACTTCCCCCAGTTTGTTTACGTTTGTTTGTTGTTAGACTGAAAACTGCGGATACTACGTCAACAGGTAATGTTAACGTTAGTTTCACTTCAAACTTGCCAATGTTAGCGTTAATGCTCGCTTAACTGTTACATTTGAGATATTTGCATGTCAGTTTAAGACAAACTTGGTTAGCTTACTTTCATCTTTTATGAATTTCATTTTCGAGATTGCAACCAGTTTGGATACTGACAAGATTAAATGCAGTAACTTTTTGTCCATTCATTGCGCTGATTTCCACATCAAGAGTTTTAGTTAGGCTAACAGTGATGTTATGTAGCTAACATTAGCAGTAACCTCAGAGATAGCCTTAATAACAGCAGCTACTGCGGGTGAGATCGCTGGTGTCTACGTCACATGCCGTTGTTGTGTGTTTAAAATACCTGCCTTTCCTGCAAAACCTGCTAACACCCTAACGTTTTTTAAATCATTTCACAGGTATCCTGAAAAGTAAAAACACTACACTGAACCTCACTTTAAACTGTAACACTGAATCACAACATAAGCTGACTACGAGCTACTGCAAAATGAATCATCTTGGGAGATTAAAATAATTGCAAAATATATAGCTGAGATAATTGCTGAAGACACAGAGACATACGAAGAGAAATACAGGATAATCAAATCTGCAAAAAGTGCCTGACATGATAAGGATCTTTTCTGCAAACCAGTTAACCAAAGCTTCAGTTCATCTGGTGGTGGCACAAATACAAGCTAGGTTCCACCTCAAGTCTAGGGCTGAAAATCGGGCAGTCAGTGCGAATGCTCATGGACAGTGTGGAGGATCTGCTTCAAACAAGCACTGGTGCTTAAGGTGACATTTGTGAGTTCTGGAAGTACAAGCACATTATAAGGCTAAAACATGCAGTTGGGCACGGTAGCAATGCAGTGGTAGCTCATTTTAAGATTCTTACTTTGTCACTTTCTTGTATGAAATGTAGCAATATGATCAGTACAAGCTGTGAAATGGTTAATTAATAGTGATTTTTGTTTCTTTTAAAATGTATTTGTGTAAAAAATCGTTAAATAAAAGAGATTGCAACCAGTTTGGTTGGAAGTCACATACTTGTTTGGTGAAGAAGAGAATTACCTATGTAGAGATTCTGCTTGCAGCCAATGTTGCATGAAATTTTTTGTATAAGATGATGTTATGGGGTAGGACTGGATAAGTCTGACTTCTTCCTACTCCATTCAAGCATGTACTAGGTATAAGCAAACTGATTCTGGATTAGCATTGGTTGGATTTGTGTAATTATGTGTGTGTTGATGTCATTTGTTCTGCAAACAAATTTGCTTTTTGTTACATCTTACAGGCTATCATACATGTGCGTTAGCTTGGCTTCTTCAGTGACATCCCATCTACATGTCATAGTAACCCCACTGCTTCCTCTGTTTGTGTGTCTTCCTTAGAAAAATGTGGTGGGTGCTGTGGGTGCTTGCTGCCTTGCTTGCACTTTTTTGCAGTCTGGATGTGTGGTACTTCTTACGGGTGGTGGTGGTGATCGTCCGGGCCTGGTTGCAGCCTCCAGTCAAGGATGTGACAGCAGAACAGATCGTAACAGGCCGGGTCACCCCCCATGACATCGACATGTGCCACATGAACAATGCTCGTTACCTCCGGGAGTGTGACTTTGCCCGCTTCTCTCTCTTCACCCGTAATGGTGTGTTCAAGGCTTTGCGAGCCCTCAGAGCTTCAATGGTAGTGGGGGCCACCACCATCCGTTACCGAAGGGCTCTGTGCATCGGTGAGGGTTATGAGCTGCGGAGTCGGATTGTCACTTGGGATGACAAAGCCTTTTTCCTAGAGCAGAGATTTGTCTCAACAAAAGATGGTTTGGTGTGTGCCGTTATGTACTGCAAGCAGAGTGTTATACGGAGCAGCCCAGAGAAGATCATGCAGCACCTATGCAAGCGTAAGGTAAGAAATAGATGTTTATACATAAATGCAAATTCTACACTGGTAATAAATTCTTTGGTCATTCAAGGAGCCTCTGGTTTGCCCCTTGCAGGTGGAGAGCCCTGAGTTTCCAAAAGACCTTCAGCACTGGGTCAATTTTATCTCTGCCAGCAGCCTGGCCCTGAGGGCTGAGAGCGGAGTAGAGGAAAAGAACAAATAAGGCATTGCACGGACAGCTACTAAAATTGCACCCAAGCTATTAAAATTGGCTTTTCGTAAGCCAACTAATTTACCAACCTAGGATTTAAAGTCTTCAGAGAGAGACATTTGTCTTCTGTCCACAATTACTTGACTTGAACACACTTGTGTCCACACTTTAAAATACTAGCTTTACTTAGATCTCAATTTTTATTTGGTTCAAACGTTGCAAGAACTAGCAGACCACATTGTTTTGAGTGGCTGCAAACGGGGTTGAAGAATCTTTACTTGCACAGTAATAAAGTAATGTACTTAATTGTACAAAGGTCATGTTCTTGTTCCATGGCAGCAATAAAATGAATTCATTTTGAACTATTCATGCATTCTCCTGCCCACACAGCTACATGTATGCAAGACAATTGGGGGGCCACTGGACTGGAGTCAGATTCCTTGTGTTTTAAATTTGGCAATAAATATTCAAATTCTGAAAACATATTTGTATTTATGGGGAATATGCTGACAGATGTGATTATGAGTGGTGTATGAAGTATTCAATCAGATCCATTACTCAAGCAAAAGTACTAATACCACAGAGTAGAAATATTCCATTGCAAGTGAAGGTTCTCCTTTGAAAATGTAGTAAGTATGCTATTTTACTTGTACTTACGGTACGAGTAAATCTGCATTAAGGTAGTTATTTTCCACCTCTGTATTTTCTGTGGAGATCCTCATGTAACCTATGGCGACAGAGCAACCAATGAAATTACGTGGCGTCACGTACGCGGAAGTCATGTTCTTCAGTTGTACCGGTTTCTTCAAGTATCATCGCATCCCATGGTAGCACTATTCGGGACGTACAGTAAGTTTTACAGGTATAGAAAGATACTTCTGTCGTCTTTATGGTTATTACTTTAAATACAACATTGAGAAAAGTTAAGAATGGCGACTTTACGCGTCAGAGTATGGCCTCTATTCTGCTACGGCCGGTAGCTAGCAGCTACGCTAACCGATTTAGCTTTAAGAGCAGGCTCATTTGAATGGAGCTTTGTTAGCTTCCTAGTCCACTCAAGGTTAACGTGGGTGATTACAAGAATGTGCTGCCTCTGTATTTTAGCCACATTATTGACAGCGAGTAAGAAAACACTGACCTCTTGCTTTTCTGTACATTTGCATCGTCATTGATGAGGTCAAATATGCATGCATCTAGTTTAATAATGACTGTGGTCATGCATTTAGAAAACCATAACTGCTCATGTTAAGCAAGGCGAGGCAAAGTTTGTTTCTATAACGTTAGCATTGTTTAACAATAAGACAACACAAAATGCTATGCTTTACATAAGACATAAAAGGCATTACAACTATGGATGGATTACTGAACGGGCCTACGTATCTGGCACACTCCCGGGCGCCCAAAGTGTCAGAGGGACCTGAGTGTGTGCATTTGTTTGTGTGGTGCTTGTTCGTTTTATATTGAAAAGAGAAGACTAATAAGAGGATATATATTTCTCAATGTGAAATTTATTATGCATTAACGTATCAAAATTAGCATGTATACATGGATCTTCACTGTTTAGGATAAAACGGAAAAAGACTGTCCTCAACTTGTTGGTATACAATATTTGTATGAAAAGGTGCTACTATCTGATTGGTCCAAAATTGTTGGGGAGAAGCTGTGGTTTAGACTTAACTCTCCCGTTAATTGGTCCCCCATTCTTGTCCGATCTCGTCCCTGGCGCGACCTTGTCCTGAAACAGACACTTTGCACAGCCCACAACGCTTCTTAGTATCTTATCAAACCTCAGCTCCCCTGGCTTCAAGGGTCAGAGGGAATAATGGGCTCTTTTGGAAAAGTCAACAAATCTAATGAAAGCCTGTGGGATGATTAGACCTTGGAAAACCACTCAGTGCACCAGACTTTTTAATCATAAGAGAGCCTGCAATATAACACAAGTTTTCAGTGTCTCCTACAGAAACTTATTTTCTCTTTATTTTAGTGAACATATAATTGGGTGAAAAATAACTACATAAACATATCTGTGACATGTAAGTATGTAAACTTATGTGTGCTATAAAATAAAAGCATTCTTAAGTGCATAAAATAAAAATCACCCTAACATTTGTAGTGACACAACATGACCACATCGAGACGCAAAACTACATAGATATACAACATGACCATGAAGACGACTACAAGAGTCTTTTACTCTTCCAGTGTCTATGTCCAGGGTCCTACTGATTTTAATCAGTGCATGACAAGATATAAAAGAAACATGGCAGTATGAAACCCAACACACACACACACACAAATAGGATTTAAAATGAGCAAAATCAAATGGATGTCAGTAAGCTAAAATGTAACTGGACAAAATAAACAAGAATAAAAATTGTAGTGCATTGCAAGTTATTAATAAATTGCCTCAAATTTAATTTAAGGCAGTGACAAACAAGACATCTTTAGCCTAATTTCAAAGAACAGATTTGTAGTAGATCTGAACTTTTCTGGCAGTTCATTAGAAATATGTGGTGCATTACAACTGAATGGTACTTCTCTATGTTTAGTTTAGAATCGGGGAACAGTAATCAGACCTGCCCCAGGTGATGTGAGAGGTCTGGATGTTTTATAATGGATGAGCAGCTCAGAAATCTTATTTGGTCCTAAAGCATTCAGTACAGGAGGCTAGTGCAAACCTCTCAGAACTAGAGTGATGTGATCCACCTTCCTGGCCTTAGTGGGGACTCTAGCAGCAGCATTTTGAATCAGATGCAGTTGTCTGAATAACTTTTAAGAGAAACCTATAAAGCTTGTGGAGCTTCAAATAATTCCAAACAGCCTTGCAAATTAATTCTGTGTTGTAGACAGCTCAGCTAATTTAGCTAGTTAGGTAGGTGCTTAATTATTGAAGGGGCCCAATATTTGAGACACAGTCAAAAAGGTAGTAAAAGATTTTTTTGACACACATCGCTTACTTAAAATGTCACAGGTATAATTTTTTCTATCGATTTCAACTTCTTACTTTAGAAGATAGCAGCCAAGTTAATGTAAATCTATGGTGCTGCTCCTAATGTTTGGAACTGTTTGACATAGGCAGCTACAAGTGAGACTGTATATTTAAGAGCTGTTTTAACTATGAATTCTGTACTGATGTTCTAGAGAGATGTTGCTGCTGGCATTGGGAGCCCTCCTCCTGCTCTTCTGCAATCTGGATCTATGGTACTTCCTACGGGGGGTCCAGGTGTTTATCCAGGCATGGTTCCAACCCAGAATATGGGATATTCTAGCTGAGCAAAGTACTCATGGCATGGTACTTCCCCCTGACTTGGATTATATGGGCCACATGAACAACTCTCGATACCTGAGGGAATGCGACTTTGCTCGCTTCCACCTTTACATGCGAAATGGGCTGTTCATGGCGTCACACAAACTGGGGGCCAAAATGGTGGTAGGGGCCTCCACCATCCGGTACCGGCGCTCCTTGGCCTTCCGTGAGGCTTTTGAGATTCGGACCAAAATACTGGGATGGGATGAAAAGGCCTTTTACCTGGAGCAGCGCTTTGTGTCCAAGAAAGATGGCTTCGTATCTGCAATCATGCTCTGCAGGCAGAGTGTGGTACATTGCAGCCCAGAGAAGATTATCGACTTTGTCTGCAAAAAGAAGGTGAGGGATGTGGTAGGGAGGCAACTAACAATTATGCCCTTATAAATGAATCTGCTAATTTCCATCATTTTGTTTAATTTGTAAAATGTCAGAAAATACTGAAAAATGCCCATTATGACTTCTTAAAGCCTTATGTGATGATATCAGATTGTTGGTTTTCCCCGAACATTACTCAAAAATATAAAAATATTTAGCTGAAAATTGAATAAAACTGTTTTTTTTTTCTAATTGAAAAGTTGGAAAAAGAAAATATTTGGCACTCCTTTTTTTTTTTTTAAATGACTTAAGGAATAATCAGTTACACTGCTAACTCTGTATTTGTGTGTGCAGATCGAGTGCCCCGAGTTTCCTGATGACCTCAAACACTGGATCAGCTTCATTTCAGCCAGCAGCCAGGCCCTGAGAGCGGAGAGTGGACTGGAGGAGAAGAACAAGTGAATCCACACAGTAGCACCATGTATCATGAGTGTAGATGAATATCATTTGCATTGCACGCATATACAGTATACATCCATACACAGATCTACACCAACAGTTAAACCTTATAGAGATTTTTTGTTGACTTACTTGATTACATTTGTGTTTGGGGATCAATCATACCTGCTGTATTTTTGTATGATGTGAACCGAAGTACAGAACTTACAACAGTTGAATATGAAAACTTGAATTGTAATGTAATATAAGTTTTGAAATGCACTTTGCGTTGGGATCATAATGAAGGTTGTTCTCTCAGAAGAAAGTGTAACATAGCATTATCTTTGCAACTTAATCTGTAGCTGGCTGTGAATAGACTGGCTTAAGACATCTTCATTCTCATTTAGCAAATTCCTCTAACTTCAGATAAGCATGCACAGCAAAGGTTAATATTCCACTGACTTCAGTGCATGTGTAGAACTAACCAGAATATTTTTTGTGCCTGTATCTTTTGATTAGCTGTAGTATACAGTTATAATTTCAGGGTATTATAACCTTTTACAAAAATTGGACACAAGTTGTGATGAAATACTGTACATCCCAGACAATTAGTTTTAATCTTCAGCTTTTTGCACAAGGTAACACAAGTGAGTAAACAAAATGAATTTCTGTTAAAAATGTGAAAGGAAATAATTATTTTTGAGGAATCCTTTTATCGATATTGTTTTTTCACCAAAATGTATAATGCATTCAAAGGTGGGCTTCTTGGTTAGAAATTGCATGCTATTGTAGGAGGAAAATTGTATTTGATTTTAGAAGGAATTGCTTAAAACAGAGAGGTGCATTAGGCAATGCTAATACTGTATAAGGTTGCTGGTTACTTTTCAAAACCTGCAATGCACAATAAATACTAAATGTTTGGATGATGCTTAATATCTGGAACCTTCCCTTAAATGCATCAAAGCATTAGTTTGTGACCAAAGTAATGTATTGTTCTGTTTGAAGAGGAAACAAAATTTTAAGCTGTATGTCTAACCTGTTATTTACAATGTGTTGTTAATGCACTTATATTGAAGTGTATAATTATACCATGTATTATTTATTGTTTGTTAATTATTTCATGACATTTTAAAAATAAAAATGCACTGGAAACTATGTTTGGGTGTTTGGGCTTGCCTTAAATAATATTAACTACCAATGAGCTGTGCCTTATGGTCTTATATAAAAACGGTTGCAACAGTTATTTGATTAATTGGTTGAAAGAAAAATAATTGATAAATATTCTGTTTTCATTTATTTATTTAAGTCATTGCTGCCAACTGCTGTTAATTTTGACACTTAAATGTATTTAAAATGAACATTTTAGTCAAATTTCATTTTTATTTTAGTTAGTTGTAGTCTAGTTTTAGTCAAAAACTAAATACATATAAATATATATTCTCAACAATTTGCGTCTGGATGTTGGCTACAGCTGTCGCCATCTTTGTTGTGTACAGTTACCATAGTTACAAGTGGTGTTCTCGTCCATCGCGAGCTTTACGCCCCTGCGTTCTGCATAAGATGGATTTACTCACGTTTGGACTAAAATCCTGTTCCAAGTTAAATTGTAACATTAATAGATGTAGTATTTTACGATTGGTTTCCCACATTAGCAGTGTAACACGTCAAGCATTTAAACCTGCATCTGAGCAAGAGATATTTTAAATTGACTGGTGAAGAAACAGTTTTAGTTAGCCTGCAGTTTGCGGTTCCACATATGTTGCATGCCCATTCGTCCGTCTTTCACATTATCATTTAGTTGTAGAAAGTCAACAACATGTGAAATGTGTCTTTCGCTGATTTCTGCTCATTGAATATATATAAAATGGCATTTAAGTTGCAATATTTTGAGGTTTTGCGTTCTTTAAAATTTAAAGCCCCCTGCTTCCGTTTCCGGTAACGCCTCCTCACTTTCACTTCCTGTACGCAAACGCAGTAGTTGGCTGTCAGTTTTTGTTTACGCACATTTTCTACCTCCATTTCAGAGCTGTTTACCAACCGCCATCAAACACCAGAAGAAGACCCACCAGTTCAGCGTTTTTAACGATGGCTCACACCGAAGTGGTTTTAGACAAGGACCAGTTTAACTGCTCGATCTGTCTGGACGTGTTGAAGGATCCCGTGACCATCCCCTGTGGACACAGCTACTGCTCTAACTGTATCCAGAATTACTGGGACCAGGACGACTACCTGGGAATCTTCGCTTGCCCGCAGTGCAGACAGAACTTCAACCCGAGACCGGCGCTCGCCAAGAACACCATGCTGGCCGACGTAGTGGAGAAACTCAAAAACACTGGAATCCAAGAGGCCACGACGCCTGCAAATCAAAGTTTTGCTGAGGCCGACGATGTGGAGTGCGACGTCTGCACCGGGAGGAAAAACAAAGCTGTCAAATCATGTCTGGTGTGTCTGGTCTCGTACTGCGATATTCACGTCCAGCCTCACTACGAGTCTACTGCTTTCAAGAAGCACAAGCTGGTGTCGGCCTCCAAAAAACTCCAGGAGACAATTTGTCCCCGACATGACAGGCTGCTGGAAGTGTACTGCCGCACCGACAAGCACTGCATCTGCTACCTGTGTCTGGCAGATGAACACAAAGGGCATGACACCGTGCTGGCTGAGGCAGAAATACAACAGAAACAGGTAATCAAATCATCTGATTGGTTGAAGGTGATCGGCTACACCACTGTAACACATCTGTCTACTCAGATTGTTTATCTAAATCAAGTCCTGCTTCAAAATGTTGCTTAAGTAAAAGCACAACACTACTCACCAGGGACCAATAACGTCTTATGTTTATACTGTATTTTGTGTAATTATTCTTATTCTGAAAATTTAACTAGTAACAAAAGTTATAAAAAGGCACAGCAATTTATTTACAGTATACAGCAAATTTTCATTTGTTGAGACCTAGTAGTTTGGGATTTCTGTGGCAGACTGTGGATTCTCACTGATCTCATTATACTTTGGACCCCTTTCCTTCAATCTTCCCAAGACTAACCCTCTGAGTACTTTGTACCACAAATTCGAAACGCTATATACATGAAGCAGAGTAAAAAGTGCAGTATTTGCCTGTGAAACCTACTGAAAAGACAGAGTACAATGTGAAAGAGCAGAAAACGGAAGTGATTACAGATACCTCTAGACCTGTACTATCAAACTGCAAAAGGTTTGGTATGAAGCCAAACACTGCTTTGTTTCTTTTGGCATTCAAACACAAACATTTGCAGTCACTGTCTAATCACTTTACACATTATAAATGCATTAGTTAATTTTACATATTTATTAGTTCTTCAGATTTTAAGTTTTCTCACAAATAAATTGAACATTTTAAAACACGTTTGCAACAAAATTCTATATGGTCTTGCAGAACAACACACCACTGAATAAACTGTAAGGATTTTTTTTAAGAATGTACATTATGGCAGATGTAAGGTCAATCCTGTCTGACTGTTCCTGACTGAGTATGCCATGATCAATCAAGTAACGCTCTTACACATCACTTGATTGATCAGGAGTCACTTGATAAATGTGTGATAAATGTGTCTTAATGCTCATACAAAGATCTTTTTACCCTTAGCTAATTCTTAAGTGCAGTTCTTAGATGTTTATGGACCCCGGTCTATTGTGATCTGTATGGAGTAAAAGCAGTGAAAATGTCTTTTGCTTATGTTTGTACAAAATTACATTTCACAGACTTTCACTTTATTTAATCATGTATTTAAACAGGTAGTCTTATTTAGCTCATGGTGAGTTTTCCAGGAGGGACGTATGGACAAACAGTTATATATGACATTCAGAATACTAGTATATTGTAGAATAATGTTTTAAACTATTAACAAGACTTGATAGATTTTAATTGAAAAGAGTCTTGTAAAGTGTACAGCTGTAGAGTCAGTATCATTCTAGATCTGTGCTTATGGTCCAGATGTTCAAAAAATGTAAACTGACATTTTTCTTGTTTTTGAAACTAACCCAGTTTCACAACTATAAAATTGAGTTTTAAACTCTGCCTTGAGTCTCCATATTTATCTATTCCTGTGTTCAACCAAACTAGTGCATTACATTTCAGTCTAGATGTGGTCTAGTCATCTGATGCTACCATTATGATGCTCAAATTTCCGTGATGTCTAAGTGGCTTTTCCCAACATTTTTCCTCAGAGGCAGCTTGGTGACATGAAGCAGAGCTCTCAGCTGAAAACTCAGCAAAGAGAAAAGGAGGCCCAGGAGCTGAGACAAGCCATTTTCTCTCTGACTGTAAGTGCTAATCCCCACTTTGGTCTAATATATAAATGCAGCACATCAGAGTGCTTTCAGACTTCTGTAAACATTTTGTAATGCGCTGTGTTATCACCCTTAAAACAATATGTTCTCTTAGTCAAAAAAAAAAAAAAAGCACAGCAGCGGCTGCACTTCTTTTGAGTCCTAAAGAAGACAAACTACGCAGTAAAATGCTGGTGGCCTTCTACCACTCTGCTATAGAGAGCATGCTTAACATACTGCCTCACACTGTGGTACACTGGCTGCTCAGTAGGCAACAAAAAAAAGCATTGCAGAGGGTTTTCAGCACAGTGCAGAAAAACATCAGCTGCCCTCTTCCCTCACTCCAGGAATTTGGAACTTGTGAATACCCACTACCTCTCCAGAGCTAAATACATTGTTAGAGACTGTTCTAAGCCCTCACGGAGATGCTGCAGGTCAGTCGAAGCACGAACCAGCAGATTCATGAACAATTTCTTTCCTAAGGACATTGGCAATCGTAATCAACACACATAGTGACTCTAGACTTCGTATTTCATTTTATTATACATTTCATTATTATTGCAGTCTGCCTGCCCTTGTTTTATGATGGAATGTTGATACATGACATGGAAGGTGGTTGACTGCATGCATGTGTGGGTGTATTATTTATGCATATTTTTAAACACCGTTGCAATTTCATTGAATTCTAATACGACACTTGAAGGCATCTTATCTTATTTTCTTTTCTTATTTAGCTGCAGTCTCCTGTGACAGTTGAATTTCTAAGAATCTGTCAATAGACTTTCACTACTGTTCG